TGTGTGTGTGTGTGTGTGTGTGTGTGTGTATGTGTGAGAGCCTACGATCTGTTTAGGTAGCCCGCCTAGAATAGCTTTGCTAACTGCGGGCTACAAAGGCATTTATTTCTTTAATTTTAAAAAAATAAAGTAAATCATCATTGCATAAAACTCCTCAATAGTTTTTTAAGGTTCGTACTTTTCAATGCTTACGTTACCGCCGTTTTTGGAAGCCCAAGACTTCCAGACTTCGCCCAATTTTTTGTGCTATGTTGAATGTTTTGTTTTGTTTTATTTCTTTCTTTTTTTTTATTTTATTTGCATACTCTTTATAACTCTGAATCAAAATGTCCAACTTTCTACTGACCTTTCCACCATTTAATTTTGTTGTGCTTTTGCGACTTTCCTGTCAGTCACTTTAATTTCAACTTTCTGCCCTGTTGGGGATTAATAGACGAGTTCTCAGCCAATGACCATGCAGAAATTTTCGCATTCTTATTATTAGGTCTGAAATCGTACGCGTTATTTCGAAATCGAATGAGTCCCATTTGAAATCCCAAATTGATTTCAGACCAAAATTACACTCCACTCAGTTCAATCACCACTTTATTGCATCCACTTTGAAATCGCAAATTTATTTTTCAGTGCAAATGTTTTGTAGATTCAGTGCTGAAAAAGGTTTGTAAAGAAAGTGGAACCGAAAAGAGAAATAAAACATTTTTTTGCCAGACGATCGCCTCTTGGCCTTTCAATTTCCTGAAACTTGATTGGTAACTTAAAACAAGCCTTGAAATCTGATTGGCCCTGATGAGCGCTAAAGCGTGGGCCACGGCAGTTGCTAGCCGACATTCCGCTCATGCCGCTGCACTATAATTAGAGAGCCCATTCATAAAATAACTCGGACGATTAAAGGTAAAATCAATTTGCGTCGTTTGGAGTTGGGGGAAGAGGAGGAGGGAGAGGCAGAATATATTTTGACTTCGAGCTGTTTTGCGCTTAGTTTTACTATAAATGAAAAAGTGCTTAAAGGAATGAATGGGGAGAATGTCAAGACGGTGCCCTGCTTTACTTTATTACAGAAAGCCCATTTTCTTGGTAAAATGTGTATGCGAAGTGGACGGCTCTTCAGAACAATACTAAACGTTCAACCGCTGAATCGTCCATTGAGCGAGACGTGTCTAAATTTTTACTGCAATACTATAGCCTGTTCCTCTGATACTCCTAGTGAAGCTAGCACTTTATGTTGTTTCGTCTTCTCTTGCCTGGTTTCAATGTGCGAATCACATGTGGAGGATTTGCAGCTCTTCAGAGTCCAAAGTACAAGGTTCAGAAGATCTTTATCGATGTTCAGTGACAGCTGGAATTTTTATTTGCTGTGTTTTTGCGAAGAATCCAAAATATTGATTTGTCACTGAGGTTGTATTGTGTTTTTTTCCGGAACGCTGGTCAGTCGCCTCCCATATTCTGTGCGTTGTGCCGGCATCTCTTTAAAAAGTTCTCAGGGAAGAAGCTGGAACGTGCAAACAAAAAGTGATTTTTCCCTCTATGTGTTATGGGCTGTGCGCCATTTGAAAGAATGTTGAACAAAAGGGAAAGCTTCATGCGTGCCAATTATTATAACCAACATTATAACTTAACGCGATGGTTTGGTTAACGTTTAACAGTCATACTTCTTACTTGCTAGTAGAACGGTAATTTTTTTCCAAGTGCGCTAAAACTCCTAAAATCAAAGCCAGTTGGACTCAGCGGAGATTTAGAGGACACTGTCGCGTTATTTAGTTAGTTTTGTTCCAGAAGGACACTTTGAAGTCAGGGCTTGTACTTTTTAGCCAAAGTATTGGGGAATGATTTTTGGAAGCAACGGGGTGAGTGAGGATGACTTGTGACCACTATATGACCACAAATATGGAGCCTCATGAAGCTGGAACACATTTAAAAATATGAGATGAACCAACAAGTGAAGCAGTAATCACGAGAGCACAGTAATGGGTGACGAATTGTGAAAACAGCCTTTCGCTTGTTTTCAGCGCAGCTTTTGGATTTGATTAGTCTTAGCAAGGCAGAATTTACATTTCTTTTCATTGAAACTTCTCTCTTTTTTTTTTTTTTACCTTTTCATTTCGTGCCATATATTTTTTTCCGTTGGTTCATGAATTCACGAATTAAGTACTAGTCGCTCGCCAAATGCATTCAATGGTCGAATTGTGGCAACACGAGTTTTACATCATTAAGGTCAGCAAGGACGTTTCTAATTTTCGTGCATGGAGACAACATATTTGGGAAGGATTTAGAGGGCGGAGTGTTCAACACTTGGAATGGCTAAACCGGAAACCTTGACCATTACAAGCGATAGATCGCTTGCCTGGGCTTTGAGCCAACAGATCAATAGGGTATAACCCATAGCTTAAAACTTCACACGAAAGGATCTCTTAACTTCAAATGGCAGAAGTCTACAACATCTGCTATAATAACATATGTTTTGCATGTTATTCATTGAGAAAAAAGGTATGATATTGGAAATGATGTAGTCCAGGTAAAAGTTGCAATGGCATCCAACTGGTACTTGTCTGGTGCGTGGCAAATCTTGGTATTTTACCCATCTGAGCTCCTATGCAACTCATCCATCAGGAATATAGGTCACTTTAGTAATTTATTGGGAATAACAACTAAGTGGCATTGACTTGTAAAGTTCGACGGATTGCGAAAATTTGAAGGGTGCGTGTAATTCCTCGACAAGAAAGACACTGCAAGTTATCATCGCGTAACAGTGCACGGCCTGTGAGGTTTCACTCACAGAGCCCCGGTCAACCTGTTATGGAATGGTTTGTCACCGCAGGATTCACAACAGTTATATGTTTGTCATAATGATCCGTTTTGGAAGATGTGGGGCACGTGCCAGTGCAATGGTCGAAGTTCGTTTCTGGTAGTAAAAGAAGTAGCACAATTTGTGTTATTTTTCAGTTACAAATTATTTGCCGGTATCAGTTTCAGCTGACACCAGGAGGCTATTCAAGGTCATTCAGATTGCGAAAAGCGAATCAAAAGTGCTTTTCTTTATCTGGATACTTTCATTAACTGTCACTTGGCTTGGTATATTATGCGGGTATTCCAGAGCACAAAGTAATTACCTCTTCTTACTTCAAAGGATCCACAAGGAGACACTCGTCACGAATCCTGTCAATTTATTCACTGGTAAGTTAGTTTCTCTCGTTTTTGCGAAATCCAGTCGGAATCAATGTTTTATTTTAGTTGTCAAAATTTATTCGTTTATTTGATGCAGTTTGTGAATTGAAAGATCTACCGGAGAGAGACGATATTATGTAACGAAACTGTCTTTGTTAGTGAAATGTTGTAGGCGGTCAGTTTAGATACGTAGTGAATTCGTTGAAATGAGCTCAGCTAGATTTTATATTTCGTTACATGATGTGGCTACAATATGACTCTGCCGGAAAGTCTTAATTACGGAAATGTCTTATTCACAGTTGTGAACTTTTAAAGTTATTTTTCTAGAAGGAAATTAAAGAGGATTTTCAGCTTTACTTTACTTTAATCAAGCAGAACCAGGCCATGATAACATGCAAAGAACTTAGAAGGTGTCTTCTATGACCATTGTCTGCAGCCAGTTTTTTCGATCTTGCGAGATAACCATCTATATTGCTACTTCGTGGTTGATAGATTCTTCTCGAATGAGCGGTAATGATCACCTCCACCGCAAGTTTTGGGTTATTATGCTGGTTAACCGATAGAAACTGAAGTGCAGTTTATTTCGTTTTGAGTTAACCGATGCAATGAACAATGGGTTTTTGAACTATTAAGGCGCTCGTAGTATCTTCAGTTATTTTATAAACTATGCTAGTCTGCATATTCTGATGGTAAATTCTATAGCATTGACCACCTGATGTGATTCATTCACCGGTTTGGTTAATCGTTTGATCGATATTTTCTTCGGTTCAGTCTAGTTTGATCGTTACCTTTTGGTCATTGAGAAACTAATGTTTATAACAGTAATGCAAAATGGGAGTTTGCCTTAAATTGCCATACTTTCTAGTTTTATTGTTCAAATGATAGTAGCTTGCTTACAAACTTGCTTACTTAGCTCTTTAATTTCATGAAGGAGCAGTGGTGTTTTATCTCTGATTTTGTCTTTAAGCGAATCAATACTTTCATTCAGTTTCACTTCACTTTTTGACATTGACTTGAAAAACTAACGTCAATTGAGCATTTATATCACTCAGACAGAAATAAAATCAACGACAACGTTACCAGTAGGCAAGCATGAATTGATGCAAAATTGGAAAGTTCAATAGCTGACACCACAAATTTCGTCTGTGATATTTTGGAAATAGTTTGTATGAAAATAAGCATTGTGATAAAGATGAACAGCACGCCAGATTGTCGGCCCGTGAGCGGCAAGACTAAAGGTCATTTGCGCAGTTGTCAATTCAATATTAAGACGTACCTTGCCCTTTTTCCTTGACTCGTGTTTGTTCGTCATTTACTTTTTTCTAGACCTATTGTTTATTTATTAATCTGATTTGGTGCGGTGCCAAAGCAATTGGCTAGATTTTAATGAGGTACGAAGGTTGAAACTAGCGTTAAGCCCCATGAGACTGAAATTTTTTGACGCGTCCGCCAAGTCTGTTTGTGACGATATTTCTGCAGTTCTGTTCAGTGTTCACTTCACGCTCTGCTCACCTTGAATACCCTTGGAAGCAGTTTAGTAAAGCCGAATACGTTCCCAAGTTGCGCTCCGCATAAAGCAAAAGAAGGTATTATGTATGTGTATATTTTTTAAAACCTGCGATCAGATTATTTATCTGTTATCTATTTATTTTTTTTTTGGAAGATGGAAATCTCTTCTTGCGCTTCGTCATTTTTTGTCATTGTGAATCCAATTATCAAATTTGTATGTCGAATAGTAAGTTAAAAAGTCAGCGATAAGAATATTTATTTATTATTATTATTTTAGAGTCGAAACCTCTTTATTGCGCTTCGTTCCTTTTTGCATCGTGAAACAAATTTGTATATTGAATAGAAAGTAAAAGAGCCTCTGTTAAGAATATTTATTTATTATTATTTTACGGTCGAAATCTCTTTATCGCGCTTCGTTACCTTTAGTCACTGTGAATCAAATTTGTATATTGAATGGTAGGTAAAAAATGAAAAGTGGAACAGGGGTCCAAAGTGAAATGAACACGGGCAAAGAACTTGACAAGAAAAAGTTATAGCGATGAAGTTAGACAGAAACACGCCCCCTCTGAAATGGCTGTTAATTCTAGTAAAAAGTTGGATCATGGACTTTGTTCTTTAATATCATGCACGAGGCATTGATCACTTTCTTTCTTTCGTCTATCTTTTGACACTTTCTATCTCATGATGCGGTGCTTTGTTCCTTTTCTCTCTAAATAAACTGGCGTCAATTGAATACATTGTTCAGAAATTAAGGAAAAAGTAACCAACCACAACAATATCTGCAATACTGAGTAATCACCTACTGATGCAAAGTGCCTTGAAAAGGAAAAGAGACAGCTAACTTTAACCGTGAATTCTCGCCTAAATTATCATCTCCTAAGCTAAGACTAATAATAATAATAATAATAATAATAATAATAATAATCTTTACTTAACGTGGAGAAACACTTAGCTGAAAGCTAGTTTACAGGTTTTCCACCAAACAGCTGAAACAAATAATTCAAATTGAAAATAACATTACTTAAGAATCCCATCTGGCCGAAGGCAAACCAGTTGGCTATTTACAAGCATGGCCGAGGATTTGAACTCGGAGCCACCGTGAAACAAATTCAGGTAGTGGTCAGGGCGGGACTCGAACCCAGGAGCGGCGGATTGCGAGTCCGACACGCTGACCACTCAGCCAGCGTGTCGAGTGGTCAGTCATCAACTCGAGTGGTCAGTCGAGTTATCTCATTTTGAAGGCGTATCCTTAAAAATTTTCCTTATGAATGTTCGTCACTGATTATAACTATTTTCTTTACCTATTGTCGGTCTGTTAGTCTTAATTGGTATGACGCCAATAACATTTGGTAAGAATTGCGGTTTAGACTCGCATCGAGCCCTATGCGGCCGGACATTTTTGCGGTTTTCGAGGGTGCGTTTGGCTTTTGATTGACGTTACTTTTGTTCAGATCACGTTCTGTGCGAAAAATTGGCAACATGAATGGGATTTAAAACTGATTACCTTTTGCCAGCTGACAAGAGATAGGAAGTTATAAAGTAAGTACATACGTATGATGCACGATCCTTCGCAGTGGATAGCGCTATTTATGCAATAGCGAAAATCAGACCTGAAAAAAAATCAGGTCTGTACGGGATTCGAACCACTGACCTTTGCGATACTAGTGCAGCGCTCTACCAATTGAGCTAACAAGCCAACTGGGAGCAGGCCGTTAAGTTGATTCGTAATAAACTCGTGATGATAAATCAGGTACAATGAAGTTCATATATTCATTGTATCCAAAGTAAGTACATATTTACAGTCTTCAATAGAAATATTTGATATGTTGAACAGGCGAGATCTGTTTTATGTTTTCTTACCTTTTTGTTATTGTAAAACTAATGCATATATTGCCAAAGTTTAACGATAGCTTCTAGCTTACTCTAATGTTAAGAACTTCAATTTCAAAGAAGAGGCGTGTTTCTGGTCTCTGTCTTTCTCTTGGGACCTAATACTTTCATTTTTGACTTTTCTGTCGCATATTATTGGGTCAATATTGTGCTTTGGTTCCTTTTATATATTAAAAAGAAACAAAAAAACTAGCTTGAATTGAATATCTACTCAGGATGTAAAGTGCAGAAAAAAAAAAAAAAAAGATTCATCAACTCCAACAACCGAACAGGCACGCTCGCGCTGTTCAGTGGCAAAGACCAAAAATTTCGGGTATCAAACGGAGAAAAGCAAGTTTCAAGTTATTCGAACTTCGTCACTGAAAATTGCCATACTTTTCAGCTTTTTTCAGTGAGTGAAGAGGTGAACGTTTGCATAAAAACAAGCATTGTGATAAGAATGATGTCTTGTAATTTCATTTGTACAGCTCCTTTATTTCGTTGTGGAGGCATATGGCTGTCCAATTTTTCCCATGTCCGTTCGACTTTGACCGAATCTAAATTGAACTCTTTTCAAGACCTATTGCCTATCTGTTGATCTGATCTGGTGCGGTGCCAAAAGCCTTTGTAAGAACTACATGAGAAAAAGCGGTGGAAACTAGCCACAGGCCCTAGGAAGCCGAGAAGTTGTACATTTGCGTGTACTCTCAGTTTGCTTATCACGTTATTTTTGTTTAGTCACGTTCAACTGATCTTATAAACACTAAAAGGTATGAATATCAGATAAACGAAATACGTCAGTACACCAACGGACAAAGCAGGAGAAAGTATGACGTTTGTGCACTTTTCTTTTAAGACCCTGACGATAGTGCCGGTATTTCATATTTGTTCCTACATTACATAATATCTGTGACGATGGCTCTAATTCAGTTAGTGTCTTTTATTTTAAGATTGAAAGTTAATGCAATTTTTTAATTTTCAATTACAATGCTACATTTTTCATTTACAAATTGAGGAAACCACTTTTACGACCGAAACAATGATTCTTTACTACTCGATAAGAATATCAAACATTTTAGAATTACTAGTTAGCGTTTAATTGCAGTACGTATTGGCTAGTGCACTCCAACGTTCGTTTTACTGTCATTGTCGAGAAATAACGTTAAGATATGACAGCAATAGAGCTTCTTGTTTTTTTTTTTTTCGTTTTTCTCTCCACATAAGTTGTCAAAGCGACCTTTATTTTGATATGCATGATATGTTTTCTCTTTGCTCAGATTTTGTTAGTGTTCCTCCCAAAAGAACATTCCAATCTCATTTAGCATTTACTTTATTTCCCTTTACAGAAAACTACAAGACACAGAAATGGCAAAGATTATTCGCTGCATTAAGCACAGAGTGAAAGATGCCCTCAATTGGGTGATTAACCTGTTGGGCTTCAACCAACTTGGTACAGAGAGACCTTTCACGACACTGTTCCTGGCGGCATTTCTTGTCATTGGCTTTTTGCCGATGATGATCTATGTGGGGTTCGCAATTTGCTCCGTTTCCCTGGGCATTTTCTTATTGGTTGTTAGCGAAGGGGGGATCATCATCGTGGCAACCATAGTGTTGTTGGCCTGTCTAATCATCCCAGCTTGCATCGCGGGCGGAGTATCTGTTTTTGTTTGCGCAATCTACTTTGCCCTTTCCCAGCTGAGACAACTTGTAGATACTGCTGTGAACGCTCCACAGAAGCTGTTCTCTTTTGAAAGGCAAGTAACACTGGACGAGAAGCCGAAATTTTTCTACGGCAATGCCCGTTTCAGGCGGGCAAGAATTTCTTATACTTCTGACAATGACTCTGACAGCGAAGGTGACGATGTCAAAGGATTATTTCGAAGCCAGGCTCATTGGGTATTTGAAGCCGAACGTGTTCGCGCTTAATCATCGATAGATCTCTGTTAAATACAAACGTTCACTGTTGATAAAAACGTTCACTGTTTATAACAGGCTTTATTTTCCAATTAAGTAGGGAACAAACTGTTCGGTTCTTTGGAAAGATGGTTATAACGCGAGCTTTATGCAAGACCTGTCACAAACCGCTTCTCGATTGGCCTCGCTTTTCTCGAAATGCATCTAAAACAAAGAAGTTGGATAATAATTGATCTATTTCACGTTTAGTAATATCGCTGAGTGTTTTTACGAGTTGTGCCGTATTTTTGACTCGCCCTGCGGGTCGTCAAAATAGGGCACAACCTGTATAACTACACAGGGATACCACACACCAAAATGTCTATTGAGATGTATGCGTTGCCTGATACGAATGGAAAGTTAAGTGTTTTATCAATATCCAATAGAGACATACGTTCATTGAAATAACTTTTGTTCATTTACACTATTTCTTTTTGTGTGTTTGAGAGAGAAGGAATTGTACTTATACTATGGTGGGTCAATTCGCCGTTTTCTTTCTGATTTTAAGAGGGCTCTTCGGGCTTATATTTTGTAAAATGAGGGACGGAAGAAAAGATAAAAAGGATAGCGTATGTGCTTAATTTTAGAAAGAGACCATAACCTGATCAGAAGAAGATAAAAAAAAAAAAAGAAACGCCGTCCTCTGAGATTTTTTATTGTTTTGAGTGTTGCTCGCAAGTCTCTTCGGATTGCACACAGATTCGGTTCTCAGAGCTTTATATAGTTGTGTCGTTTGAGTTAATTATCTCAGAAATTGGATTGAATTGGCTCACTTCAACGAATGTTAGGTTCGTTCAACTATCATTCGTGCTGACGAAGGGCTAACGGTTGAAACTTCAGCCCTAGAAAATCTTTACGTTGGCCAATTAACATTATTAACTCAGTTGATAAAACCAAATTTTCTATTATCCGAAGGGCTCGGGTTCGAATCCCACCGAAGCCTGGATTTTCTGTAATTGCAGCGGTTCATCCGCGAGGATCATAGCTTTACTAGGTAGGTAGATCGGTCGCTTAGTGAGGGTTCCTTCTTTCTGTCGTGGTCAGTTCTATCTCTAACAAGAAAAATGTCTCCACTGACTTTAATGTGACGAGGGTTGTACTTCACTGAGAATTTTAATTCTTTTTTTTTTTCTTAGGTTTGGAGGCGAAGCTCGCAGTGTGAAGGCAAACGAAGATGACTAGAACCTGCGGTTAATTGTAAAAACTCTTTTGTGACTCCAGGCATATTATCTCATTTGTACCGCTTTGATTTCACAGACGATTTCTCTGGTAGAGATCTGTACTATGGTCGGGGAATGATTTCTTCTTTTCCACAGAGGAGAACGTTCTGACTGACTAAGGCAACGGTTTGTTGGATAGGTTCACTACCAAGCTAACTTTGTTGATTGAGGAGATCGACTTTTTTTTGTCTCGTCACTCAAATTTTTGATCCTCTTTGTTTGTCAAGAATTGATCCGGTTATCCTCAATGGAATGATATTTTTTTATTTAGAAACTTCAATATAATAAAGATAGATTTGTTAATTTCACTTTGATTTTTACCGATTCTTTGAATGCTCTGATTTGTTTGTGGTATATTGAGACCCTTTCTCTGGGATTTTGTCAGCTTTCTCGGTTCATGATGCGAATAAACCTGCAGCAACCTTTTGTTTTGCGACCTTAGTTCTTGTAAGGGTTGAATGCATCTTCTCTCTTTACCCATTCACACTTGGAATGTATTGAGGTATCGAAGCTGTAAACAAGCCAACATAAGGGCCATTTCTACGATGAAAACGAGCTGTGGCGCGCAAGGGCTACAACTTGCCTAAGACGTGACTTGCACCATTTCATTATTGGAACATAAACAAGTTGACTGTATTCTCTATTTTTTCATTGGAAATCTAGAATCTTAAATTACCAGACATTTTGAGAATTTCATTTTTAACCCCTTACTCTCCCAGAGCTTGGATATTGAATGCAGCGAGTTTTAGCGCAAAGGTATCCATCTGGCCCCAGTTTTTCGAAGGTCGGATAACGGTTTCTACTAGATAAATTTCTTTCCGGTGGAAAACGCTATACGTTTTGCCATCACTTATCCACTGGTTAGCGATTTATCCCTTGGATAACCTTATTCGCCCTTTCTACAACTGGACCCTGGTGTGTGCGTGCGTGCGTGCGTGTCATCTCAAAATTTTTAAATCACTAATTTTAGCAGGATCTAATCAGCGCAATTCAATTTTTAAGGTGTTAAAGGCATTTGTTGTCTATAGCGGACAGAAATTAGTTTAATTAAAATGATAAAAATATCTCGGTTCAATTATTTACAACGGAGTCAAATTGTCTAACGGCAGGGGTAAACAAAAATAAAAAATTAGAGAGCATAATACACTATACGATATGCTTGCACTATACTTTTGATTTGTTCCTCTTATATAAGTTTTACTTGTGATTTTTTGTCAAAATTTTCGATACTATGCTTTGAATTTGGCTTGAAGATGTGATTTGATTGAGTTTCATCCTTTCGCAAATTCAAAACTACGATTGTAACTAATCTTAAGTTTTCCAAACAAACAATATTTAGGAAATCTGGTTTCCTGGCTCAGTTACATGAAATGTAATCAATCGAGATAATAATTCAAGCTAATCTTGCCAGACACAAACGAGATTATAGAATTCAGATGTCGCTCTTACTATGAACAAAGAGTTTGAAACCCACGTGCAGTTCCGCCGTTTCAAAGAATGTCGCCAAGCAGTGTTTCATTTCCTTTCCCGAATCAATTCTTTTAAATTGTTTGAAGATTCCCGCAGAGACGAGAATTACAATCTGCACAACTGTTCGTCGTAGAAACAAAATCTCAAGGATTTATCTAGAGGGTCCATAAAGTTTCTGTCATTTTTATCTTTTGTTTTATTTTTTTAACTATTGCTATGTCGAAGTATGCTGAATTTAAAAATCTAGAAGCGGGAAAATTCAGATGTATACAAATTAGATAACTTAGTGTCTCAATAAAGTGACTCAGAACTAGTCATAACCCATAATAAGAGCAGATCAGTTTATCTAATTTCCACGTTAATGGATTATTTTAACAGTCGAAACTATGGGCGCTAAATCAGAGATGACCCGGAGATCAGATTTGTGCTCGGCTCTGACAGCTGCCAGACGAGTACTTTGAGAAATACACGCTGACTAACACTGTTTTTTGAGCGGTGTGAACACAATTAGCTTGTATATAAAGGGTTTTCCTTTCTAGGATCTAATTTTCCGGCACTTTTAGCAATCCGCATATATTTCGGTGAATAGCTTTCAATTTTCAAGTTATTGTTCACTCACCGTCCGCATCTGTTTAAAGAAATGACTACCTACGAAGAAGTATTACTTAATTACGAAGACGGAAACTAAACAACATTAGATTGGAAAAAGCCTGAGGTATCTTTGCTTGTTTAACTTATGGCAGAAAATCAAAGGGCATTGAAACGCGAAAAGAAAAACTCCTGCTAAAGCCCCAATTTGCTTAAAGAGTTTTCGTTTTTGAATGGATTCACTTTGTTGAAAGTTTTGGATTACCGTCAACTGAAAGGTATCAAAACTCCTTTTTATTATTATTGTTATTTGTTATCGAAATAGCCCTGGCATCTGCTTTGAAATCGGCAAAATTAAAATCATTGCAAGAAATAGGTTGAAAAATGTGTAAATTACTCTTAATTAATCGTAGCCGAGAATTGAAATATAGTGGTTTTTATTTCTCTGTGTATTTCTCAGCCTAATGCAGCACTCAATGCATTCAATATGTGATTTTCCTCCACTTCTGATATCCGCCCGACTTCAGTTATTAACGAGAACATTTGTCAAGATCTTGTGCGAGCTGAAAACACCTTAATGCCTTCTTTTGTGTGGACATAGTGCTTAACTGTGTTACAAGGATTAGGTGACAGCCCACTTTTACCCATTAATTTATTTATGGAAATCTAAAACTACTTTCAGAGCGGCACGCACGCAAATCAAAGTACGGGTCTGCTTTGACGTGACGCAAAGTGGATGATATCGACTTCACAATAAATGAAGGGTGAGTCCAATAAGTGCATTAGATGAGCTCTAGAAAATCGCATTAAAATGCACCACTCTTGCACAGTCGAACGAGCGAATATAATTTATTGTTTTTTTTTTCACATGCGAACTAGTTTGTGGTTTTTGATTTTTCTTAATCTTTGTAATAAGTTATGTATACTTCAGGAATGATGAACAACTTCAAAACTTTATTTTAAAGACTCCTACTTTTGGTACAATAAAGTTTTGATTCGTTTGCGGTTTTGATTTCAAATCATATTCATCCTTTTCCGTGAATGCGGGCACATATCACTTACAAAACTTTTCAAAAATGCAAAATCGACTTCTTTCACTCGTGCTAATATATTGTCACACAGGGTTTTGCATAAATAACGATGTTTTCAAACTTGTTTTGTAACTATTTCTGTCTGTATGTTTTCCTTTTTTTTCATTATTTTTTGGAATGTTGTTCAATCTATTTTAGTACTTTCCACACTGGTTGTAGAATGTAAACGGCGTTCATCTTGACCATTTTATTTTTCATTTTGACGCTGCATTCTGCTATTTCGTTAATGTTTTCAAAGCACCTGGTCTTTACGGAGATCATTTGAAGGACTGCAAGAGTTCTCTGCGCAGAAAACAAATCGTTACAACTACAATGTTATCGTTGACCAGAGTTTAACCACAGACCATACCTCGTAAATGACAGCGGGATCGTGTACACCTATATGAAATAAAACACCACATTTGTTCAACTGAGATTCGATGCTGACTGGCGCTGGGCAATGCAAATAAATACATTAAATGCACGCCTTCATCACCGCCTCAATCATTAGTGCCATCTCCGTAGCACGAGTGATGAATGTCTGTAGTTATTGTTGAATCAGCATCGATTCATTCGGTCTTCTTCCAAAGCCTGACCGGCGCTTTCGTTACATCACCCATGTTACCTTTTTATGGTAGCTAAAGTGAGTTTTAGACTTCGATTAAGAGGAAGCTGTTTATGCGAGTCAGCTGAGTGCAGAGGATCTCACTCGACACATGCAGACCGAGTGAAAAGTAAGTGAAGTAGTGATTTCTGTTGCACAAAACCTGAATTATATTGCGAGTTTCTTATTTTGGAGGATGACACATGTAACGGAAACGCTTATATCGATGTGTAGATTGTTTTAAGCGTCAAACTTAAAACTATAGAGCAGAGAAAACTACGAACAACTCAACCTTCTTTAAGTCGTATTTTATTTGTAAAAGTTATCTCAAATTGTCACATATTTACATATGTTGTTATCAAGATATATATTTCTTAATAATGTGGAAATTCGTTTTCGCCTAGTGCGCAAAACGTCCGCTCAGAGAAATTTATTCAATTCAGTATTGAACCCCTGTAGTTACACGTTGTGAAATTTTGACCGATCAAGATTATTTACTGAAAAAGACTGCCATTAGATCCTATTCTCTCTTACGAATAGATTGAACAAGAAAGAGTGCGTATATGTCAAGTGTTAATCGCTTAACCCGACGGTCTCTGTTAAAAGCACATTAACTAAACGGCAAGATATTCAGGGCGCCAGTTGATATTAGTAGATTAGCTGAAAAATATGGCGCCTTGAAGGCGTGGACAGAAGAAAGTTTTTCCATCCTAATATAGTCACACCGTGGACCTCGGTTTTGGTATTTTAACTCCTCGGAAAGTCCTTTGGCCTTTCAATAGGTCGTTAGTGAAGCGCGAATCGTAAATATTCAACCACTATCAACTTCCTGATCTGACCTACTTCCTCCAGCCAAATTTTCCGTTTAGTCATAACCAGACAGTTTCCTGCAATAGTGTATTTGATTTTCTGAAAAAAAAAAAAGAATTTTATTCGTGCACTGTTGTGCGTGCTCAAATGAGTGGATGTCATTTTTTGCACTTCGCTATCAGTTTGCGAAATGGTTTCCTTGCATTTTTTTATTTCATTATTTTTTTTTTGGTATCTTACTTTCTCATGATTTTTATCGTGATATTTCTTTGAATAAACGAGACCATTCCTCATTTTCTGTCGCATTCTGTATTACGGTAATTTAAAAAAGAATATTTTTAGTCTTTTTCCAACTTGTGGAGTTTTCCGCATCAATATTGGAAATCTCCTGCTTGCAGTTTTCAAATTTTTTTTTTTTTCAATGTATTTGTGAGACGCCTCAAGCATACAAGTTCTCATCTGATACACAGATGTTTCAGTGTGGAGACCAGCTTTTTCGTAGAGGATAGAAAGTAAGTTTTTAACGACGCTATTCTTAGCGTTAACTCAGCCATTCCTTGATTGATAAATGAAGCATGCAGCTGACTTTATGAAACCTTTCTCAGGAAAATTAAACAGTCTTTGAATGGCATCACGAATCTGCTAATTTCATTTCTTCGAGTCAGTCTCTTTTGTACCTTAAACTTTTACATGACAAAACCGAAATTAGCCGTATCTTTAAAATTCATAAATGGGAAATGAGCTGAATGTATTTGTTTTCAATTATTACTGAAACAAGTGATAGAAAGCATCGAACTAATTTTTCTCCTGTTTTTTTTTTGTATTTGGTTAGACAAAATGTAGAGTTTGGCAGACGCTTGGGAGTGCAAGAACCTTTTGTAATATTTTACGAAGCTTCTGTAATCAATTAAACAGTAAAGTTCATGCACCATTGCATGAACTAGCTCCCTTTCGATGTCAGTAAAATTTTAGAATTTCTTTTCTTAGTGCGGCAAAATGCAACTCCAGTCTCTTTAACCGCTCAAAACTGCCAAAAAATCCTTTTGCTCGCAAGCAAAGCTCATTGAGTGAATCCAAAAGACATCCATAGCTTCTATTTACACGGTATTGGTAGAGGAGAGGTATTTTCTTTCATATGTAACCACGGATTAGGCATTGTCTTTGTTGGAAGCGTGTATTAGCTGAAATTGATGAGGGAGTACGTTTCAGCAAACATATGGATGCATGAAGTTGCTTCTCTATCAAGAGCTTCTAAAACATTATAATGTCGATCCACAAAGGCAAAAACTTACCTTAAACACCGTGCGTTATATCTTAGTTTATATGTAGCTTTGTTCGTCTTGCTTGTCGAAACAGTTGGAAGCGGCGAGGCAAAGTAAAATACTTTTGGAAAGTTAAAGCCACGCTAATAACTCGAAGTTCATTAAGGAAAACTTGTTGTCTCAACAAACCTTTGTTTGATGATCAGTGGTAGTTCATATTTCGCTTTATCATGGGAGCCCCTGTAATAATTTTACAAGCTTATTTTAACATGCCAACAAGCCGTACGTACGCTGATTGTTTTGTCAAATAATTAATGCTGCTCTACTTTTGTAATAACAGTAATGTTTTCATCAGCATTTTGACACCATCTACCGTAAGTTTAGTTTTCAGCATGATAGAGAAGGATTCTTAGAGATATTTTCGATCTTTCGTTTTGTTAAGCAAGTTGTGAAAAGTGTATTTCCATTCGTTTATTTGTCCACGTTACAAATGGAAAATGTGCGTAATTAAAAAATCATGGAATAAAATGTGAATTTTCCGCTTACTTTGAAAGCCGCTCGAGCAAGTGAAAATTCTCGTATCGAACTTAAACTTTAATGGATAGATCCTCGCTAAGTTTGCATGGTAACCCCGTCAAGAATTTCCATCTGTGGTTGTTGGTTTTTGTGGTTGCAATATAGCAAAACGTTCAAAGAAGATTAAGAGCTGTCAAAGAAAAGAAGAAAAAAATATTCATATTTGTAAAGCAGCCGATTCAAGGATGCTTTGAATTTCTTATCGACTGAAAGGGGATCACTCACAATCTGGCAGCTGCTAGCCACATTGTCGAACAAGAAATTTCACAAAAACTGTTAATTATGCCTGTGTTTAGGGCAACGCGAACGGTTATTAAGATAAAGAGATAAAAGATAAACCTCTCCGCCATTTATCCGAAACAAAAATAAAACGAAGGTGCCTGCAGCCAGAGGATTTATAGAGACCATTGTTGATATAAATTATCCCCAAGGATGTACGCACGCGAAGCTGAATTAAAACCGTTTAGGCTTACTCCAGAAAAACAATGTTTCTTTGCAATATCGAATTACAATGAAGCGTAGAATTTAAATGGGAAAGGCTTCCTATCAGAAAAATAAAAACGACTGGAAGTTATTTTCATTGAGACTGTCACGTCGTATGGAATTATAGACTTGAAGGGAGCAATCCGTCTTAGATTCAGTTAGCATTTTAATATTAAATACCCTCATGATAATTCAAACTAACTTTTATAACCCGCTTCGAGGTTGATATCTTAAAAGTAATAATAATAATAATAATAATGTTGAAAGACAGAGAGATTCACAAGTTAAGCGTCAAAACTTACACTTAAATTTTTGTCCTTGTATGATACGTGTGTTTTATTAAAGATCTTTCACCGTATCGTTCGCAATGTTTTTGGCTGTTTTCAAAGTCATCTCCTTCGTTCTCTTTGACGATATTATTTCCAATTTCAAAGACAAAAAAACAACAAATGAAAATACATATCAAACGTTACAGTCTTTAAATAACTCGAAATATTAGGGTTTTATATCGCTGAAAAAACGAAATTTTTTCCCGTTGCCTACTAATCGGTGTGATTTGCATTAAAATGCTTGAAGGTGCGTAAAAAGGGTCTTATCTCGCCACACAAAACATCGATTTGTATACATTAGTATTTCGGCGTCGAAATTTTGTCCCAATTTCTTTCGGGAGAAAAAATCTCTAGAGCTGGGACGCGATTATTTAATCTAGAAGGCATCTTGTTTGGTTTCTAGTCTTGTTAAGTAGCTTAAGTGCTTTTAGCAAAGAAATTGTTTGACCCATCATAATTCTGCTTATTAGTCAAATATTAATTCATCATTCGTGGGTAGCTGGAGAATGGCTGCGCTGCAGGACCCATTTTAGGACAATAACCGGTTTTACTCATTCGGAGTTAATTTCCCCTGAGGGGTTCGCGATAATAATACGAAAGAAACCCACAATTGCTCGAGAAAAAAAGAAAGAAACAGTTGTTTAACAGCACCGTTGACAATAAAGTTGTCAAAGAAATAGTCAACACGGACGCGCGCCCATTAAAGTTTCCTGAATTTATGTCTGAGCCAGTACTGATGCAGCCTCCTCTTAATTGCCGGTGACTAAGATTAAAAGGACGTACAGCTTAGTCGAAACGAACTGATTAAAAATCCCGAAAGATTCACTTCCGACGATAATTTAAACTCTTCGGAGTGAATTATCGTGAGGAAAAAAGAATGAAAGACCGGGTGGCGATTTCCCATGCTGTGAAGGTTGGATTTGCAGCGCACCACTTAAACATTTTTTTTTTCATTTAATAATATAGTATTTTCGTTTCGCTTGGACAGGAAGCAAATCAAAACGAAGAGACAATATGACGCAGATTTGCAGGGCTTACTAATGGATGTAGTTAAAATGCCTCGTCCGCTAAATCTGAAATCAATTACGAATCAGTCTCTTGTCACATCAAGCCCTTCAATTCGCAAGTTCTTATGAATAGGCTACTCTAATTCTACATTCGTCATTAAATTCCTTGAACGGGATTTCTTGAATTTAGCTGGGAACGATAGAAAGAAAGAGCTCAATTTGTTTTCATTGGCTTGTTTTGATCGGTTGGCACATCACTACAGTAGAAAATCATAAGGGACACAGAATTCACACTTCCTCCATAACTGATCGATGATATCGCAGTGTTCATTAGCACGCGACAGCAAAAATGATTGCAAACAAATCGCATCCTGTCGGGATTATAGGGCAAGCAAACGTTTCTGAATTTAATAGTCACTTTACACAACTTAGCGGTGAATTCAGAGCAAGCTTTGCTGAACATGAGTTTGATTTCGCAACACACATTCATCATGCGAATTAATTCGATTAAATTTCTGTAGAGATGACCTGCTTGCACCTGTTGAAGGCTGGTAGAAGAATAATGAACTTTCTCTCACGTTCGTGATAATTAGCGCGTCATCGTTCTCCCCCGCAGATTAAAGCGGTGTTTTCAAGTGAGATCACTTCGTTTGACGGGTCCAAACACCCTTTATTGTGGGACGCAATGACTATAGCACGTGCAACATTCATGGATAAACACACATCAAAAACTAAATTTATCATATAAATAATTTATGAAAAACAGAAATAAACTCCAAGATTTCTTTTACTTTCCCAGCTCGTACGGAAACGGGCTGATAAGAGCATTTTATACCCAACGTGTTCAAAAAACTGGCTCGATATAACAACATCGGGTGCAATGTTATCAGAAAAAGTGTGGTTTTCTGTATCGTTTGTACTGAAGTTGTGTTTTGACTGGCTTTTTCCTTAATGACCTCCCTCTCATCATGGCTAGTTAAGAACGCGGAAAATCCGACGAAGTAGACAAAGAACAATTGAAATTGTTCTATCAAACCGCTAATGACGAACTCTATTCTGAGCTTGGCACCACCAAAGGAGCCAAAAATCTGACAAAGGGGGCGATGGCCGTCAGTTCCGTCAGCCAATCAAACTATCGCTATTCGCGCGTGCGCGCCAAAACGTTGTTGCTATGGTGTTCACCTGCTGCATCTGCTACCGCTGTGATAGGTTTTGTTCTGACTAGTTTAAAAAGGCATGACATCCAAAAATGCCTTTATTGTAAAACGACCGCTTCAAGTCGCTTTTGCACTCGAGACAGCTCACAGATTTCTAGAGTCGCGGACTCTTCCGAACGAGATCAAAAGATGCCTAAGTCATTCTTAGTCAAAAAGCGGGTAGCGATAACAGCTTGCACGGACTCACAAGAAATCCCAGACACTGATATGAAAAGCGAATCTGGTAAGGTGTAAGAAATAGAGTTGCTCTTTTAAAGAAAGGTTTTAATGGCCATGATTTATTTTTCCGTCCATCGCATTTTTCGAGATATACATTCGGTACTTCAGATGTCCAACTGGTTGCTCTATGTAAAAGTTTTTGAGCTAATTTTTGGCGCATAGCTGAGTGGAGGTCAACAAAAAATTTTCTGAGGAATTTTTAAGGGACAAAATCGTGTACCCGATTGTAGGATTTTTGTTCTTTATTTGTGTGAAATCATTATTGATAAATTGGGGATTTATCATATACGTGATCGTTCACAAAAGCGCAGTGTTCTGTGAAAACTAAATGCGGTCAGATTTTAATGGATTTGAATATTCAGACTTTATTTTCCATCTTGAGTGCATGATGATTTAAATACGCACTAGTTAACTGTCAAGTTTTCCGTTCTTTCTCTTTAAGGACAAACGACTGAAATGGTACGAGATGAATCTGAGGAGAAACAGACGAAAAGTGCCCCATCAAATAGACCTTTTGATATTGTTAACTTATTCGCGCCCGATAAGCCTTCGAAAAAGGAGACAAGTCCTACACAGTGGAGACCCTCGGTTCCAATCAGACCAAATATGGGACTAATGGAACCGAATGTACTTTCTGCAAATGGTAATTACAATTTTTGACTTGTTGCGTATCAGTTTGGGTTGTTAAGCGAGCGTCTTAAAAGCCCATTTCTCCTTGAGCAAACGAGAGCTCTTAAAATCAGAGCAAGAATATTTGCGTCACATTAGTAAAACTCTTATCGCATTGATGATATTAGAATATTTTTCTCTGTCTCTCTATTCCAAGTTGGAATGTTGGTAAACTTCTCAATAGAAAAATTACTGTGCGAATGAGGGTTATAAAATCGGAACGCGCCTTTGTCGAAATTTACATATGAGAATTCTTGACTCAGGTAGTTCTAGTTTTAATTTAGGAAATCAGAACTCGTGAATTGCTGTAATAAGGCACACAGGAAATGATCCCGCTTGCATATAGACTTTGCGTGTAAATAGCGCGCTTTTTTCACGGCTCTATCATAGACAAGATTTAAAATCTGCAAACAAACCGCTGTAAATGGTGTAAAGTCGAGCGGAACACTTTTTATTTGATTACCAATCGCGTGCAAGTCTGCAAGATGGAAATATTATTTGTATTGGGTTGCCGTATATCATAGAGCCACAAGACATTGACAAGTAAATAAAGATTAATTAACCCGGAGAAAAACCCTAACAATACCACAAAGACTGTATGTTTAACTCGCTGGAGTTTAATTGTTAGAACAGTGTGTATACTTGGACCTAGTGTTGAGTTTATTAAAAACAGCATATGAAACCAGTGCCACCTATAGAATTGTTTTCGTAAATTAAATTGGAACAGAGTGGCTTAAGCCCGGTCAGAACGGAAAATGAAGCTGAGAACAAACCAGAGGAAATGGAAGTGAATTCGTTTTGCTTTTTATATTTTTTCGTTCAGATTAATCGACACAGAAGCTTAATTACGCCTCTCATTTAGAGAAAATATCACACAAAGTCATTTCTTTTACACTCCCTTTCAGCCATTGTTACAATTTGGATGGTTTGTTTCTTCCTCAATCAGGGCTAAAAACATCCTTTTAGAGTGTAAAATGAATCGGTATCTATAAAGGGTTTTAATTTTAGTGAATCATCACTCAGTTTTTCCGAATTGACCCGGACTCTAGTGAAAAGGTAATAACAATAGGCCTCTCTAAACGAATTTTACATTCAAATGTTCTATGCAAACACTATAAAGGGAAAACTTATTAAGCGCGCAGATTGCCCGTCTCTTTTCGGATTTTTAAACATGCATGAGATCTTTGTATTTGAATAGCCCTTCCGAAAGCACTTTTAGTGTTTTTGTTTGTTCGAACCTGGTCATAAATCACGAAAATTTATCGCTTTACTGTGTAATTAATCCGTCGTAAAGCACAAATCTTGAATTCAAGTTTTTTTACTATTATTTTGCGAGGTTCGTGTGATAGAGCTACAGAATTCATAAAGTTAACACAATGTTTCTTTTTGTTATCTCATAGGTGGCAGACCTTATCTTGCTCGCTTTTCAAGCCCATTTACACCCGATGCGTTTAATCCATTCCTCGGTTTGTCTCCTTTTGTACGTTTCCCGCCTCAGCCATTCTTGGGTGACCGTAGATTACCTTTTCCTTATTGGCAATCGACATTCCTTGCAACTCCTTTCACAAATCCGTTCGTGCGTGTCGGAAATGGAACAGAAAACGCATTTAAACAAACTTTGCGCGGAACTGCCCCGTCGAATGTAAGCGAGAAGAAGAAACCGGAACAGACCTACAACGGACAAACGTTCGATTGCCTCAACTGTAAGAAGGTTTTCAGCACGCCGCACGGTTTGGAAGTACACGTGCGGCGTTCGCATTCTGGACAGCGCCCGTTCGCTTGCGACGTGTGCGGGAAAACGTTTGGCCACTCAGTCAGCTTAGAACAGCATAAGAACATCCATACGAACGAAAGATCGTTCGAGTGTAAACAATGCAACAAAACTTTTAAGCGCTCATCTACCCTCTCAACACACATGTTGATTCACTCAGACACAAGACCCTTTCCTTGCGACTACTGCGGGAAGAGATTCCATCAAAAGTCTGACATGAAGAAACATACATACATTCATACAGGAGAAAAGCCTCATAAGTGTCTGCAGTGTGGCAAGGCGTTCAGCCAGTCTTCAAATCTTATCACACACAGTCGCAAACACTCCGGTTTCAAACCGTTTGCTTGTCGCGTTTGTGATCGAGCGTTCTACCGTAAAGTCGATCTAAGACGTCATGCTTACACCCATGAAATGGACCCAATGACGATGAAAGATTCTTAGAATATTTCTCAGTGATATTTTCTACTTTGATAATTTGTTAAACTAAACATGCCAAACCAAGGCGTGATCTAATGCTTTTTTTTTTTTTTTTCAAATAATGATGTTGAAATAAAATCAAACGAGTAGAGTTTATGATATGACCTAAATTCTGGGACACTTGTCACAATAAATTTGTGGCAACTGAGAAAACAGAAGAGATTTGTACGTAAAAAGCTGTAGAAGAGATCAAAATCAATCGTTTGTTAATTATAAAAAGCTAAGCTCTTTCTAAATAAAATCGTATTTCTTGTTTTTGAAAAGTTGTTAACCGTATGCCAAAACGTCTGTACATATAAAAAAGAGAAACAACACATGTTAAATGCATTGATTAAGGATATATATACATCAACCTTTTAATAAAATGTGTTTTAAATTCTGCTGTGACTATCCTTTTTCGATTCGCTATTTACTATTGTTAAATCCCATTTATTGTATTTGTCGCTGTTCAATCGGTCATTAATTTATAATAAATAAACGAGGCTGTTAAAATTGCTCGTGTTTAACTTTTAGTCGGTGTGGAAAAAAGGGAAAAAAATTCTAAAAGTACATGTCAAACGCACTTCTAGCAACTGTTCTCGACGCGTCTATAAATGAATTTTACACATGATAAAACCAACGTTTATCAAGCTTAGTTAAAAAAATTCAGTCTAAGCTGAAAATCACAGTATACATCCAGTTGCATATCTGTAGATAAATCTTGTTTGATTTTGAGGACTGGTTTAATTGATCCAGAATTCAGAGTTTCGACTCGAAATGAAATTCTCATCTTTATTTTTCGTTCAGAAACTTTATCTGTGGTGGAAACCAGCATAAAAATTAAAACAATTAACGTTGAGACATATGGAACATTAGCCAAATATTTAGAGAATTGTGGGGGATGATAACAGAAAAACTTCTTGGTCACTACTACGTATAGTAATTAACTGCTTTTCTTCTTTTACAACCACTAGGTAAATTAAAATTTTTTGGAATGAAACGTTCCTATTCAGAAGTCTGAGAGAAGACATGTTAAAGCTCTTAAAAACAAAAGATGTATTTAACAGATGCTCACACTGTGTCAGTAACGAAACTCAAACAAAGCGAAAATGTAAACAATATTCAAAAGAACTGAGATGATGTGATGGATTAAAGAAACAATCTTTAAAAAAAAAAAACTTGCGACAAGTCCATTAAAATTGACTTGGCCATCTTTTCCCACGGTTTTCTTAGATTACTAAAAA